AAATATATCCAACTAGAACCGATTTTCTTTACTACTCTCTTAGCTTTTGTTTTCAAAGATCAGCTAATCATGTCAATAGGTGTCTACATTTAATGATAATTAATACTTCATCTTAATTGAATATCTTGCCTTCTATATTGAGATGTGACAAATTCACTTTTTCTATATTTGCAATTGATTCACATATTCTAATACTTTTTTTTCCACAAAGCCATAAAATCTTAATATTAAAGTGAATTATTAAAATTTCAATGCAAAAACCTAAAAGTCAAATGTTTCTCCTAAAATCTATTTCTAGTGAAAGTAATATTATTGTTATGAATTTTATCAAAGGTATCTTCACTATTATAGGAAGAAAAGCAAGAGGAAAAGATTTTGAGCTCTCTGTTTGTTTGTTATTCATCTATAAATGCTTAAACTGAAAAATGTTACTGAAAGCAGCTGCTGCAATGTCTAACTTATGGTTTTTTGAAGCTGAGATAAATGGAGATGCTTTCCAACTTCTTGAAATGAGTGAGATAGGAATGTTCCTAGCCATCCTTGTTTTTAAGTAAGTTAGTTATTTGATTTTGCTTCCTTAATTTGTTTAGATTTTTGAGTACTTATAGTTAGAGAATGGTGCTTGGGTCCTTGTAAACAAATTAATTACCTCAATGCCAATGCCCAAATTGATTATTTTGCTTAACCTTACAGGGAAGTAACTAATGCTTTACTTATGATTAAAATTGATTGAAAACATTTAATTAGATATTTTCTCAAGCTTTTACAAGAGCCTACATTATAACTTTGCCATGGAAGTTTCATTTCAACTTTGAACTCCTTTTTCATCATTGCTGTAGCATATGGTTTTATAAAATGTCTATGCTTTTTAAAATTCATTTTGTCAGTCAAAGTATGGGACACCAACAATTAGCATAAAGTGCTTTGCCATCGGAGTTATTTTCTTGTCTTTGATAAGTTTTCAAGAGATCTTGGAATTTTTGAATTTCCCATATTCAATTTGAATACTTCTTAAATTTTTTGCTTTTATAAAATTGAGAATAAAAACCTAGGTCTACATAGGCTTGATTAATCAATTGCATGGTTTTTTACTCTTTCTCACTGAAAACACTCTCTATTTAGTTTTCATTGTAGAGATCTATAGAGGATAGAAAGAGATGGAAGAATAATTGTTGAGAACAACTTGAATGGAAAAAGGTTACAAGAACAAAATGATTTGCTTTTTAAAGATGACTGGAAGAGAAAGATTATCAGCCAAATGTAGTGCCAAATATTGGGTATTCTTCTTTTAAATCTTTAGTTGTCTATATTTATAGTTTAGCATTTATCTTATTAAATGTGTCCTCTGTTTTACCTTTCTTGCTTTGTAATTAGCTAGGGCTAGTATGCTTTTTACTCTTGGATAGCTACATTTCTTACTCTATTTTGGATCTTTATGTAATTTTCATATATGATTTTCATATTATTAGTAAATTTTACATTAAATTATTGAAGGAAAAAAGAAGATTATAGTTTATGATATAAAAACCTTACCTTTTTTCTATAATTGAAAAAAAAAAAGACATTAAAACTTTTAATGGGGGTTAAAATTGTAATACTCTATCCCAAATGATAATTGGGCTAGACTATTACTAAAGTCCATTAATTTATTTAAGAGGTTACTTACTAAAGAAAAAGTGATTGAAGTGTTTAACCAGAGAAAACTTAGCTATCGTGAAACATAAAAGAAAATGAAAATTCTTCTTCCCATCTTCCTTAAGGTTAAAAAGCATGAAAATTCAAGTTGAGAATCCTAAATCGGAGACTAAAATCAAGTTAATCTCCTAAATGTCAGTATATGTCATCTTTTTATTTAAGAAAAATACCATGTTAGTAGCTATTATTTGGAGTTGAAGTTTTGAGAGAAAAACTAAGAAAAATGATAAAATCTTTCATTAATCTTCATGAACTATTTGGGTAAATTATTGGGCTTTATTTACATTATGTTATTAAGAATTAGTGATGATTACTAAATGGATTTTAAAGGTTGATAATAGGGATTTGAGTTTTTAAAGATAGAAAGAGAAATTTTATTTTTGGATGAGATATTATGATCTACAACAGTGAATTAAAATGAAATTTCATATTAATGGGTAAATTATTTCCATAAGTATATATATTATTGGAAAGCTTATTGAATCTACTTTCCAACTAAACAAAAGGTCGTCAATTCTGAATTTTTCATGAAAAGTTGTCTAATTTTTACTTAAGGATGTACAGGTTGCATGGTAGCAGTATTAATGATGAATTATGAAAATTGTCATAAATTTTATACAATGAATTACAAATTGAATATTATATGTTTGGAAAACTTATTAAGACTATTTTCCAACAAAATAAGCAAAACAGAATTCCAAGTCTCCTATGAATAAATATTTAATTTTTACTAGAAAGTATACATGCTGTTTGTTAGCAGCATATGATGTGGATTGTAAAAATTTTTACAAATAATCTACAAGGAATGAAGAGGTGGGATATATATAGTTAGAAAGCTTATCGAGTCTAGTTTCTAACACATTAAAAATATCTTAATTCCAAGTTGGATATCTTAAGATATGATTGTTTTAGTAAAATGAGCTTAGGCTATCAGTATTAATTAGTTGAATTAACCCTTGTATAACTTAGTTGTTTTTAGCACAAATGGTCTCAAAATGGGTTGATTAATTTGTTATGTTGAAATGATCTTAAATAGGCCATTAATTATTTTGAAAAAAAAAATAAGTGATAGAATTGAAAGGAGGTAAATAGAATCTCACACACTTTGTTGTTTTTGAATTTATGTATATATGTATATTTCTAAATGAATTAATATTTTATTTTCTATTTTTGATATATAAAAATAGGATTAAGCATATGATTATTTTATGTTTATATTTATGAATGAATTGAGAAATTAGATTATGTTTAATTAATGATTTTAAGATAGCTATATATTTACATCATTGAGAAATGAGATCATTAATATCAGAACTAGTTTTATGGCCCTGACTAATGGGTTATAGTAGTTAGCATAGCCATGATCATACATCCTTGTTAATGAGTTACAGTAATTAGCGTAAGGTCCTAACTAGCAGGTTATAATAGTTAGTAATGATCAAGATAATGAAATTATTGATGCAGCTAATGTCATGGGTTATGGCAATGACTGTAGCTAATGATAAACTAATGATAATAATGATTTGTGATGTTGAATTTATGATTTTAAAGATTGATTCATGATTTATATTTGAAGATGAATTATGATGATTTCTAAAAATTGATTAATGGTTTGGTTTGATACGATATTCAATGATAACATATGTTATAATGATTTATGAATTGACATGTTTTTATGTTGATTTATGATTTACAAAATATTTTACATAATGATGATTTTTGAAATGTTGTGACATTATAATTTGATGAATGTTCTTAATGATAAAGGGTGTTGAAGTGAACGATCTACCTGTCCAGGATCATTTATATTCTGAGCAATGGCAAGCTTTTGATGAAGCTGTTCGACAGCTTGTGGATGAGAATAAGGTGCAAATGTCTGTCTCTTACATCCCTCGGGATATTCTGCAACAACTTTTATCAGGGACAATTAATAGGAATTAGGAAATGAACAATGATTAGACTTTAGACAATGGGAAATTGCAGTCGAATATGCTAGGATTAGTATCAATCTCCTTTCATATGAAAATCAATTGACTTCTGTCTTCACCAACATGTTAAATCAAAAGCTACACTTGGAGGTTGGTGTTGTCTAATTGGTTTGCTATATTCTTATTGAAAGTGGATATTCCTTTCTGTTTGGTCTTTGATACTGAAGCTGGTTTTTCTAAACCATCAATTTACAAAATGGCTTTTTGGATAATCAAAACATACACATGACTGGACTGCTGCCTTCTATTTCTGCTTTCTTTGTTTTGCCATTTTCTCCCTGATTGTTAGTTTGGCCAATGATATTCATTTGTCATGAAATACTGTTGGAATTTATATAATGACATTGAATTAGATCTAGGATTAGCTCAAAGATCGCCTAGGCAATGTATTGTCAAGAATAATTATCCCAACATGCAGAAGCTGTGTTTTTATTAAAGCTCTCCTATTTGTTATCCTACACCAACTTGTTTAATCAAAGACATTTTGGACTTCTAAATTCCAAGTTTTCTGCATTTGGGGATTCACTGTGCTGTTTCAGTAACTTACATGGTTTTTAAAGCTAGGTTCGAAAAATAGGGCTCTCTCAGTTTTAAATATGACATTTGTTGTTTGCAAGTTGATTTACATCTCAGAAACAACAGACTTTCTGATGTTGGAACTTTGTACTTGTGACAACTCTGTTTCAGATAATTAATGAATTCTTTTGGGTCCATTGGTCTGATCAATAATAATTGATTAATGAATCTTTTGGATGCATTTGATCAGATTCAAACAATTTTGTGTCCTTTGTTTGAATGAAGTGCATAAATATTAATTGGAACCTTGTGAAACTTGTTTAGTATTGATTGGATCTAAAAAGGGCCATTTTTTCCCAAAAATATCTACTTGACTTGGTGGACTGCTCTTTCTCTCACGCAGCCAAGTTTTATTTTATTTGCATGCTCTGCATTGTCCATTTTAGTGGTTGTAATGATCTAAGAAAACAAAACCAGAAAAAAAAATGGAGAAGGAAAGACAAAACATATTGGAAACCAAGAGGAAACCCAGAAAGCTAATAAAAAGGTAATCCAAAGAACCCAAAAAGTTTATTGGATTTTGCATTTGAGTAAGCAAGAACAATGGGTTCTAAAGGAAGAGAATAGAAAAAGAAAGAAACACAAAAAAATCCGAAATTTAGAAAGAACAAAAGAAAAAAGCAAAGAACATACAGCAACGATGTCAGAATCGCATCAGGGAAGCTGATCTGAGGCGGAGAAGAGATTAGTCACTCACTCAAAGTATTTCCCTATCTTTGCTTCCATTGTTTTTGTAAAACCGTTGGTTTCTTGCCTTGTCCTGTCCCTTTTTCTGTTTCTTTTCTTTGCAAAACCGGAAACTCTGTACACTGCTCACAAGGCAGCGTTTTGTAATCCTAATTTCAACTTTTTTTTTGTCTAATTTTTTTTCCAGCAAGTTTTTGAATTGAGATAAACCTGATAATTTTAAACTGACAATAAAATAATATGAAAAAATGCACGAAGGTAACACAATTTAAAATATATGAACACACAAATTGACGTCTTTCAAAGTAACTACTGTGTTGGTGGGTGTAATCCTTTAATCAGGGGACGATGCCATTGGATGTTAGAACATTTTTGTAGGTGAATTGGAAAACTTCATAATATCTATATAGAAAAAAATGAAAACAGTTATTTCAAGCTTGGTTAAGAGTCAATGACAATTAATCCTTGACACTATAATTTAATTTATCCATTTGTGTTATACTCTACAAGCATTACTTTCTTCCTGTTGCCCTTCCTAATAAAAAGCACACCAAGAAATCAAACAGAAAGTCCAAAATTCCTGTAAGGTTGATGCCACACTGTCAATTTCATAGCACATATGAAGATACAATGACTCCAACTTCCCTTGCTAAAATCCAGGCCTCAGAACTTTGAGGGAACCAAATACTACCTTTAGCAGCCATATCTGCTGATTTGTTGAGTTGAAATATCACCCCCTCAAGTACCGTCAACCACCGATTCACTCAACACGCAGGTAGCCTGAGAAGCAAGCATCAACTCGTAAACTGGTACTGCACATGATGAACAAAACAAGCTGTTAAGAGTTTTCAGTCACTTTCTTGTCTGACAGGACCGAAACTCATGCTTGCATACTCATCTCTCAGCTATCCTCTTAAGGATTCTTGAAACCTGGATTTCACCTTGCACTTTGATCACACAAAAGTTAGATGTGTTTGTACTCCCAATTCACTAATTTAGCCATCTTAGTATGGTTCTTGCTTCCTCAAGCAAATTTCCTCAGGCAATAGCACATTTTCTTCGTCATGTTTTGGAGATTCACCATTACCACTGAAGAGTCCTGTAGATAATGTAGGGGATAGAGGTGCATGGCCACCTGCAATTATTTAAAATAATTGAAGATTCAGTAGAGAGACTTAACCCAAAGACAGACAAGCTAAAGATAACAAAATAAAATCTTTACGCACCTCTGAAGGACGAACCTCTATCAGAGTCTTTGGTTGAGTTTAACAAAATGGTCCCCGAAAGCACAGCAATGAAACCACATAGTTCAGATATGATGCTTCCCGTGCTTTGACCATCCCAATCCTGAAACATATATATACTATTTATGTGTTATTCGCACATTAGATTGATGATCCATGTGAAGTAGAAGATCTAAGCATGAATAATATGTTTCTATCCCTAATATTGGTTCAAAATGGAATCAAAATTGTAGTAATCTGTCCTACTAAATTCGGAACAGCTATTCCATTCCTCTTATATTCCATTCAGTGAACCAAATGTGCTGAAAGTGTTTCAGCGTTCCACAAATAGTAGGCAGGGAGTTTTCTTAATTTATCTTTAATTTGAACACAGCAAATGAGTTTTCCTTCCAAACTCTGTTTAGCCCAGCCTTAATTTACAAAGGGCTAGGACTCAAAGAGGGAGGAATGGAACACTCGGTATACTGATAAACTTTGTTAAGATTTTATCTAAACTTCTTTTTTAAGTCCATCCCTTGCAGCCCATGCATTAACTCATGACAACTGAACCTTGATCTTTCACAATGTCTGAAACTTCAAGCAAAAATGATAATTGTTTTAGAAAGATGCAATGAGTGATTGATGACACAATACCTTGAACATTATGACACTGGCGAGGATCGTAAGTGATGTGAACATGACATAATAAATAGGGGACACAACTGCAGTGTTGAATGTATCAAGTGCCTGAAAAACTCAGAATATTTTTTAGAGGAAAATAGTAGCTGAAAAATTAAAACATCAATTTCTATCCGAGAGTTGTTTAAGCCACCTTTTAAAACTAAAACATCCTGGTAAATGATATCTACTGTTAACATATATATATATATATATATATATATATATATGAATATGATGAAACAAAAAAACTCTGTACTTGGAAAGGAAAGACTGCCATCACTGAGGCAAATTAAACTGCTAAGTGTTAGGTATCTAATAAGTTTTTCAAGAAAAAAATTTGTTTAAGAGAAAGAGCAAGAGAAAAGTTTGCAAAACTCGATACTCTAGTATCTTAACCTTTCCCCAACTAAATATCCTGGACGATTATCTCCACTAAGCATACAGATGAAGAGCATAGAAGCAATGAAAATGAGAGATAATAGAAAACTAATATTAAAATGGTTCTTTTCCTTGACAGACCAAATCCTTCAAAATCCAACAAATCAAATCTGAACCCTGGTCCTCTTTAAGTTGTATTTCCTACTTAAGCAATCAGAAGATTTGAGACACTCATTTGTTAACCAAAAGCATTTTGTAACAAAAGAAGATATAACACAAAGGCTTTATTTTCTTTCTTCTCAGTCATTTTCTCTCTCTCTCTCTCTCTCTCTCTCTCTCTCTCTCTCTCTCTCTCTCAATTAGTATTATTTTTGTAATATAATTATTCAGACTATTTGAGTAAATGTTAACTAAAGCAGTGCACCTTTATACTCTTTATCTCTTACCTATCATCACACCAATGACTCTAACTTTACAATTATCAAATCATTAAACTAGTAAAAACTTGGTTAATTAGTAAACTACTAAATCATTACTTTTATAACGATAACTCAGATCTACTCAACTGTAGTACGTAGTGTCCATGGTGTCCAGTTGACTCTACAAAACTACCCAGGCAAGATAACTTACCCAAACACGATAGAAGTACCTACCTTATTGAGATAATTCATTTGTGTAATGACACATGTAGCCACGATAAACATAAAAAACCATGTCTCTGGGTAGACTAACTGGTTCTTTCCCTCAAAGGTTAGTTTGAGTGCAGTTCCAAGGGCTTTAACACTCATGACCTGCATATATCACGCAGTCATAAAATGAGACATCGGGTTGATATGTGATTTTGGAAAAGAAAATACCATAAATTACTCTGTTCCAGTTTTTTAAGAAGACATTATCGAAGGAAACCAGTGAATGAGAAAAACTCGGAAGCTCATTTTGAGTTATGAACTTATGATATACAATATATCCATTGAGAGAAATTTCTCTCCAGATTATACAGGCAAGAAGGGCAGATTCATCTACAAAAACTCTTCTTTTTTCAATCACATTTCTTGCTCTTCTTTTTTCAATCACATGTCTTGAATAATCACATTAACTCACACCAACTGGAGGCTTCAAACTTGAGCAAAGAATCAAAGAATTTTGGAAGTGAAATACTTCAAGGAAATTCAAATATTTTTGACTAAACACTTCACATCAATTAAAATGTTTAAACTTAAAAAATAAAGATATGTCATCATCTTCCAATTAGATGAAATCAGGCAGCTTTTAAATAGTTTTAGTGAAACTCGTTTTATAATAAGCAACACAAGGAAAAGGTATTAATCCTATGGTTGGAAGCAAAACAAATTTCAAATCCATCAGTAGTTCAAATGGCATACCGAGAGAGATCCCATTAATGAACAAATGCCTGTGAAAACCAACACATTTGTATGTCCACATCTTGGAGCAAAATGGAAGATCAAAAGGAACACCAACACAATAACCGAGCCCAGATACAGTAAAAAAGCTGAAACAGAAAGGAAATGGTCATTCAAACATTTTAACTTTTAACACATAAATAGACAATAGAGAAAAAATGGCCGAAGGTGAAAACTAACATGGTTGTGTAGCCATATTCCATATCTCCTGGACAGAAGTTATAGGACTCTCTTGTGGTGCATGGATAACAATTACGACCGAACCTGAGATACACATAACGCATCCTAAAACCCCTAGCTGGTGTAACTTCTCCTTCAGAATGAAGTGAGCCAAGACAGCACTGAGCACACAATTCGAAGTACCACAATTGGAGGGAGGAAGAAACGAAGAAAATGAAAACTCATTATATGATCAGAGAAGAAAGTACCATCCGAACTAGGAGTAGGAGAGATTACCTGACAATAATACTTAATGCACCAAGAGGAGTAACAAGAATTGCCGGAGCAAATGCATATGCCACAAAGTTTGCAACCTCACCAACAATCACTGCATCAAAATATATACAACAAAACGTATTCTGCAAACAATCAGTTAGAGACAAAAAGCCACTATTCTGTTTCATTGGTACCTAATGCAATTTAATGACCAATTCTACATTAATGCATCAGTTACCACAACTCATTCGTCCCCTCAACCCCCCCCCCCCCCAAAAAAAAAAAAGAAAGATGATAAATTTTCAATCGTTTTGATGCTACCAATATAATTATCTGAGAACCCAAAATGTAAAATTTTAAGCCAGTATCATGAAGCATTAAGATTTGTACTAAAATTAAACAATTCCAACAAACAACAACATAATTCGTTCACCTTGATATGAAAATTCCATACACCCAATCATCAGGATCAGCGATTTTGATAGTAAAAAGATGATAAATTGAAAGTTAAATCACACATCAGCAAGAATCATGACAGAAAAAACAGAAACAAAATTACTTAGAGGAGACCCACAAAAGATCCAAACATACTTGTGATCATGCCCAACCACCATAAAGGCTCCAAAAGATAAGCATATCCACCATAACCTGCAAAACTCCAAAGAATGAAAGACATTCATAAAACCCAAAATCAAGAAAAAAAAATTCAAAAAAAAGAAAAAAGGAAGACAGACCAGCTCTAACACCAGAAACAGCAGCAGCTCTTCTAAGGCCTTTCTTTTTAATGATAAAACTTGCCCCAATAAACCCACTTGACAACAATGCCAAAATAAACCCTTTTAGATTGTCTTCATACAAACCCATCTTTGTTCAAAATCTTTCTGGGCTGTTGATCTTTTTCTTCTTGTTTTTCTTCTTTCTTCGAAATCTAGCAATCATTTGCCCTTTTTTTTTGCTTACCGGTTTTGTCTTAATGACAAGTAAATCTGCTATGTTTTTGAAATAAAACATTGGGACAGTTTACCATGTAATGTATGCACAGCTAATTAATGTGTCAGCGCTTTTCTAATGGCCTCCATCTGTTTTTCCAATTTTTTTTTCCCTTTTTAACGTTGTTAACAATAAAATTTGTCATTGGTGTTCTAAATCTATTTGACAAAAAATTAAGAAAAACAAGTATAAATTTATTATAATTCTAAAATGGCTATTGGTTTTTTAACACAATTCTTTTTTTTAATTTATGCATCCACATAAGCTATAATATATATATATATATATATAAAACAAGGAAGTCGAAACTTTAAAAAAAAAATGAAGAGAATGTGGATTGCAAGTAGTAAGGGAATTTCAATCAAAGGAAATGAGTGAATTATTTTAGTTAAACCCCAAATTATACAATATTTTATTATAATTTGTAATGACAAATTTTAAAATAAAAAAAAATAATGTAAAAAAAAAAGTATTCGATTATGACTATTTATACACAAGTCATGCCAATTGTTACATTAATTTATACAATATTTTTTATTATAATTTGTAATGACAAATTTTAAAATAAAAAAATAATGTAAAAAAAAAAAGTATTCGATTATGACTATTTATACACGAGTCATGCCAATTGTTACATTAATTTTGTTCTAAATAATTTTAGTATGTGACATAGCATATAGTGTTATTATAATTATTACAATCACCATTATTATTGATAGTATATGTAATCTATATAGTAAACAATAGGCACGTGTGGGATATTAATTATATCGTATTTTAATTATTTCTTAATTCATGTTTATGGGTACTCATTTAACTTGATTTTTTTAAAAATTATTTGTATTTATTACATTAATAATAAAATACTTTAATTTCACAAGTGAAATTAAAATAATGATATATATTTTTTAATATATATTTAAAAAATTTTTAAAAAAGTGAGGCATATGTCATCATCTTAATTTTATTTTAAAAATTTTTTTGTTAATATATTAAATAATTTCTTGTGTGTTTATAAAATAAGGGTGCTTTCTTTTCTTTAAATGACTTAAAATAAAATGTATGTAAAAATCGAAGCAACAAAATTTTCGATCATGACATCATTAGACTTGTCCATGAGTTGAGTTTATCGATCGGGTCAATTCATTAGACATTTCATTTTAAAAACCAAATACAAGCTCAGCCCATTTATTCATTATTTTATGATTAAAATAAATTATTATATTTATTAATATTTAAAATAATTTTAAAATAAACTTAAAAATATAATCATTTATTAACAAAATAATTCTATTAAATTAGAGTCGATAACCTACCTCAACCTTTTAAATCAATTTGAATCAAACTTTAAGCTTAATTTACCTCATCCTTTTAAGTCGATTTAAATCGAACTTTGAGCTTAGTCGGAGAGCTTGGCCCACTTTTAGATTTACCAGCAATAATACCTATGCGTTGTTGCAAAATGATACTATCGGAATTATAACTTTTTATTTTATTATTAAGTTTTAAATTTTAAATATTAATTTAAAAATGAGATATTATAAGTAGAAGTATAAATAAATTGAATATAAATGAATGAAAATATATATATAATTTATTTATTTTATTTTTAAAATTATTTATTTTTTATAAAAAAATTATTCATTACATTCGATTCATTTAAATGATAAAATATTTACGTTCAGTTTGAATTTGGTTCGTTTAAGTTAAATCATCATATTCATGAATATATATATATAAATAAATTTATTCACGAACATATATAATAAAATATATTTATAAATAATAAAAAAATATAATAAAAAATTAAACAAATAAATATATAATTATAAATTTAAGAATAAACAAACATAAACGAATCATAAATTAATAAGTTTTAAATAAATTTATTCGTAAATATAAACAAATCAAATAAATTTTTATTCGTATTCAATTTATTTAATAAATAAATATAAAAATATTATTTAAAATTATTTGTTAAGTTTAATAAACAAATAAAAATAAAAATAAAATAAAATATATTTACAAAAGGTTTATCAAAAGTTTTGTTTATTTATATCTCTAATTACCAAGTCATTTTTTTTGCACATATTAGTTAAAAACATTATGGATTTTTTTGGAAAAAAAAAATAGGATGATGATTGTTAGGCCTAATTTGTTGGAATAGAAATACTATTCCCGAAGTTGGGATCGTTAAGAAACATGACGGGCTGGGTTAAGATAGACTTTTGCTTACCACAGCATCAACCCTATCCATATCAAAACATCACTTTTTATATCCGATTTTTTTTATAAGTATAAAATCCTAATCAATCTAGCTCAAAATTAATTAATAATTTTAATTTAATATAATATTTTATAAAATATTTTTTTAATATAAATTATATTTTAATTATATATAAATATAATATTGTATTAACTTAATATTTTAAATTAAAATATTATATAATAATTTTATTAATATAATACATATATAAAATTAAATAAATAAATAAAAATATTCTTTTAATATATATGCCAGGTTTACATAAAATCAGCAACAGAAGCTTCCTCAATGGCAACAGCAGCGAGCTTCCTCATTTCTCTCTCCATTTCCAGATTTGATTCGTTGTTTGTGTTATTCGGTTTCTTCATAACTCGATAATAATTTGCACCCACATATACCTAGTTCCTGTTATATTTTTCTCCCAAAATTTTGATATTTTATTTTATGTAAACTTTATGCTGTGTTGAAATGATTTCCAATGCAAATAATCATGTATTGGCATTTGATAATTGTAATTAAACTTGCTGCTTAGAAATATAATTAAGTTGGTGGAGTAGATCAGATAAAGAGTATCTTACACATTGGTTTCAACTTTACTTGTCATAAAAAATAATTTGAAGATCAATTATGATTAGGGTGAAATATGATTTTATAATTCAATTTTTAAGATTAATTGTAACAATTTGTTATATATTTAAGTTTGATGTAGATATTTAATTTTACATTTATTAGAGTATTTAAAATTTTGAATAATATTTGCCAATGTCAAATTTATTTTTTAAATTAATTTTAAGGAAATTATAGTATGATAAAATAAATTATATCTGATGGATTGTAACCTATTTCAATCTTATAAGGGTGATTTTTTTTTTTTTAAATTGAGATTCAAATAAGAGGTAGGATGAATATTTCTTTAAAAAAATTAGAAATCGGATTAGAGATAGATTTTAAGGAATTTCGTATTAACCATTCTCAGGATATATATAAAAATATATTATTTATTTTGTTTTATATTAATATATGTATATATATTAATAAAAACATTATTTAATATCTTAATTTAATATGTTAATTTAATAAAAACATTACATTTACATATAATTATGATATAATTTATATTAAAAATAATATTTTTATGAATATTACACTATATTAAAATCATTAAATTAATTTTGAATTAGATGTAAGTTGGGACAAGTTATACATATATCTGTTTGGGCAAAATCAAGTATAAAAAATAATAATTTAATATTTAATTGGATCAGACGAAATAGTTTAATAGTAAGGTAAGAGTCAAGACAAGCAAAAAATTACATTGACCCGATCCGATGCCGTCTCTAAGAGATTTTAGAGTTAACTTAAGTATATCAAAATATCTCAATGACATTTTCATATTTGAGAGCTATGGAGGATAATATTTAACACCAATGACACCTTTTACAATAGATGACATTTTAGACTAATAATTTTGTATGTGTGTGTTCAATTATTAATAAAAATCTAATTTATTAGAGCTTAAGTAAATTTTTATAATTTTATCTAGCTTTCCTTTCAGAGATCAGCATTACTTTTTGTAGTGACTAATATTTTCAATTAACAACATTTTTGTTTTTATCGTGTAATATAATGCAAGGCTTAACTATTTTTTGTAATCAAATCATGATAACAAACGAATTATTTTTTAATAAATTAGTTTAATATCTCATCATCATTGAGATTAAATATTCAAGTACTTTAAATGGTTTAAATTTATATATTATTTTTTTCTTTTTCATTATTCAATCTTTAATATTTGTAAATTAAATCTTTATTATATTCCCACAATGAAATGCAGACTATTACCTAAGATTTTATTCAATCTTTCTTTTTTGTTTTTTGTTTTTTATTCCCATATATTTGATTTCTCCCTACTCTAGTATGTGAACCTAACATGCTATTAGAGATGGGTTTTGCTTTGTAATTATAGAATGGAATTGCTTATGCTAATGATTTTATATTATTCTGTCTAAGGCTCTATTTTAAATCCCTGATCTAAAACTTTATCTAATCAGTATTGAATATTATGGTGAGATAATCAGGTGAGAATGCTAATGGCAAGGCTAATAAATGTAGATATTGATTCACAAAGAGTAAAAGAACAAATGGGTGCAGTGTTAATTTCTCAAGAGGACTAGTCGGCATTTTCAAGTGAATTTGTGATTATAATGCCTAATTTTTTTTTTTTTTAAATTGGTTCGATTTTGATTCTAATCTCACTGTAATTAAAAGCAAACTACATGGTGCATTGTAAAACACCCAAAGTCAGCATCCATGAGAAAACTTTTCAAGGAAGATAGAAAAGAAAATTAATTAAAAAAAAAAGCTAATTTCTTGTTCCCATGGCATTCATTGTTAATTTTCATTTTGAAAGCTAATAATTGGAAATTGCCAAAGCAAATGCTAAAATTAATTGGAAGCTTAACTATCACTTAATAATTATGTAAAAGAAACAATTCCTTCATTTGTATGCGTAGTAAGAAGATGCGTGATACAAAGGACTTCCACCATATCATATATAGATGCCTAATTCATAAAACGATATCTATATTGAGAGTCTCACCCACTTGGCATCTAAAAACAAACGTAGAATTTTTTTTAGCAGAAGTCGGTTGAAAATTACTTATTTCGTCTAATCTGCAATCCATCTTAAAGCTGATATCCACAAGCAAATAGCGAAAAGCATGCGTAGGATCAGTCCTCAGCTACCAAGTCGAATAG